ATGATGAGACAAGCCTGTCTGGGGGGTCAGGGTACTAGCTGCCATGATAATTCACCTTGGCATTCTCTTCATAAATCACATAAAGACTCTGAGGACGTGCAGGGTCAACGCTGGTTCTGTAAATAAAAGCCGATTGTGTTTGACAAGTGGCCGTGACTTTCCAGAGCCTCACAATAGTTCGGAGTGTTTGCCTTCCAAATCTAACCTTTGTGCACTAAGCTCTATCTCACCAACAGCTCTCAGTTCCGTCACAGGCCGCACCCTGCGTAGTCTCATCTGGATGAGGGTTGGGTAACAGTGTTAGCTTTAATGCAGTGTGATAAGTGTCAAGCCAAAGTGATCTCTCAAACTTTTTTCTTTCATCAAGATGAAAGAATCCCACACATTCCGTTGGCGTCTCTTTTCCCATTAACACAAATAAACTGTATCATTTTCTCACATTAGGCTTCACACTGAGTGAATACAGCGAGAAGGAATCAAACAATGATTCAATCTCGAAATAAACCTCTCAATCATGGGTGGGCAAAGTTTGTTCCCCTCTGGAATTTCCAAAATGAACAATGAGATTTAAGATTTAAGGTAGAAAATGTTTTTTTGTTTTGTAATTGTTTTTAAATCTTGCATCTCTACGATTAGCAAGGAGCTTACTGCTTTTCTACCTTCAAGATTGTTTTTGGTGAGTTGATAAAGCTGCTGCATGTTAAGTGTAGCAGAGGAATCCGATTTAGGCAGCACGGTTACAGAATGTTTTATGTTCTTAATTGTCAAGTATCTCAGATGTCTCCCACTGACTACAAAAAAAACTTCGACAGCCTTAGGTTAATATTAAGAAAAGACGTCATTTGCTGTTTTCACTTTTTGTAAAATACGATTTCACACCTAATAAAGCATTAGCTAATGCTAACTGATGTTAGCTGAGAGCGCTTACTGTCTTCTCCCAGGAATGTCACAGTCTGTCACAGAGATAGCTGTGTGTATTTTCTACATTTATTCTACAGTTGCCAGTTACATTATTTCTTGTATCGACCAGCGCTCAGTTCTTTTCGTTTGCTCCCATCCACTGCCTTCATTTTCCCACTTACCCTACTTTGCCCTACTGTGTGAGCAACCTCATTGTTGAGGCATGTTTTAAGAAGTCACAGTGCTGATATTGTTAAGGTCATCTGTCAAGGTTGCTATCTCCAGGAAGTCTCAAAATAGCCCCATTTTACATCCTTTTAAAGGACAAGCCAAAGAAAGAAAGTGGGATTTTGACCAGGCACCATCAGCCTCGATGCTAAAGAGCAGACAAAATCAGGGCTGTGTACTTAGTCAAACAATATCTTGGGGATTCTGGCAGGAGAGTGAAAAACGTCCATTATCATGGAGTCAAAAAGATAACAGGTGACCTCAGAGAAAAAAACACACACTGGAGACTTGATGTCTTCACTTATTTTTCTGCCCTTTTATGGGCAGTGATGTTCTTGTATTGACTTTTTTTGACTGTCATGATCGAGTTTGCCAGTATCTGGGAGTCAGAGATATCAGAGACATTTGTGGGAATCATGTTTGACATAATGGTTTGCTCCTATTTAAAAGGCTCCAGCAATGAGAAACAGAGCCCTCGCTTTCATTTTCGATCATATTTCACTGTCCAAGACATTTGTTCTCTGCAGTTTATTATTCAACATCACCCTCAGCCAAGGACTGCTTCTTCTCTTATCCATGTGTCAAAAAGATCAATACCCCATTCATGGTATTACCGCCACAAGGAAACCCTGTCAACATTCCAATAAGCTGCAAAAGTTCCCAATAAATGCACAGCTAAACTTTAAATTTGTGGCTTTTCGGTGAGGCTCTTGCAGCCAAAGGGTTGTCAGTCAGGGCCCTGAATCCAAAAGCCCTGAGGTTTGTTTGCTGCTGGTTCTTTTTGGAAACTTGTGGCTTTGTGACATCCACAGCCATCCATTGGGCCATGTTGCTGTATTGCCTCATATTATCCAGAGTTGAAGGGAATTGTTTTTGGCAACAGAACGCTAACATTTTCCTATGGTGCAAACCTCCAAGTGGGGCCCTCGTATCCTCTTCCTTGTGTTTTGGGACGATGATGATGATGATGAGCTAGTTTTGTAACATCTGCCTGTAGTTGCTGTAGCTACAGTTTCAGTTCTTCACACACTTATTGAGAAAACCCCTCTGGGCAGTTTTTCTATATTTGAACAATTATTGAAGTCTGAAAATAAACTGAGCAGGAATTGTTGAGCTGACATTTGTTTTAGTCTGTGACGTGTCCTGTGAAAACAAAGAGTTCACATGTGGACACAGTTCCTCTCCCTCTGTCATGTTTTCATTTCTCCACTTGCTCATCACTGCATGTCAATGTGAATGGAGGTGAAGTGGTGCTGATGTAGTCCCCAATCTGTCCAACTCCAATTGCTGTTCTATAGGACACTAATGATTGTGGGGGGGGGGGGGTTCCCTCTCTGGCCAAGTGTGAAAGCACACACTACAGACACACCAATGTGACATACACAAACACACATCTATACGTACTCTTAATGAGGCTCTGGACAGGTCGTGGTGGAAGAGTTCTGCAGGTGGCTCAGTTTCATCAAACCACAACTGGATTTGTTTACATTTGAGGTCATATGGGCCTGAGAGAGGGATGGGGGGAGAGGGGGGGGGGGTTGTGTGTGTCCAGACATGGACTAACACACTTTTTCTAATTACCCAGACTTCAGTGTTTTCTCTTTTCAGTAAGACATATTGACATGTCAGCATTCAGCAGTTTAGATACAGAACAAATGGACAATTTCACCTCTTTCTGTGTGTGCACTGGAAAATCTGTCCCTCAACAACATAGGCTAGTCTCTATTTTAACCTGTCTCACCCATACTGTGTAGAAGTCACTTTGAGATGAAGGTGACACGCGCAATAAATCATACAGAAGCATGACCAGTCAGTGGCCAATCACATTTTCCTTCCCTAATTAATAGGTTATTTATTTTCTTGGTGCGGTCGTTCCAGACGACAGAGGTATTCTGTGTGTTTTTATGTTTGTCCTGTGTGTGTGTGTGTACGTGCAAACTGTACAGTAGAGTTGAACAGGGTCATACCAGCTGCCTTTGTGTTCACTATTGTTAACCCTTTGATGCCAATGCTAAAAACCCAACAGTTAATAAACTGAAGAAGTAAAGTCATTATTTTTATCCCATGAAAACACTGCACCTTCTCACAGTCAGTGATTTGTTTCAGTCCCAAAGCTGATGTTAAAGCCCACACAGACTTGACCTTCCACCTGAAACCGAGAGACATTAAGGAATCAGGAAAAACCACTAATGTCTGCTTCAGTGTCGTCTACAGTTTAAGCTCATTCTAGCATCACTTCGCACACACACATTAACTCCTGGCATGTTGCTGAAGACAAGCAGAACAGGGGAAAAAAGTAGAGAAACGATCGCAAACTTGTTGAAGGGCTGGTAGCATTTTAGAGGAATCAGCCAAGCTGTTGGTTTGGTAAACTGTTGCAGCTGGTCTTGTGCATTACAAGGAAGTGGACACTTTCTCTCTATCTTTCTCTCTCTCATGCTTTCTTTTTAATTCTTTATGTCTCTCTCACTCTCATACACACATCCAGCATCTAGTTGTTCACCTTGTACAAAGTTCAGAACTGTCTTTTATTTTAACGAATACATAACATTGAGTGATGAAGCTTAGTATTTTCAGCAACTAAAATTATATCAGTGATACCAGGTTTTTCAGCCATTATAAATACAGTAATAGAGGTATTTACTATTTGCCAATCAGTTGATTGTGAAATGGAATTTTGAATGTTCCTTTTATGCGAACATCTGCTGATGATGTTCTGCAGATCTTAAACTCTAATGTAAAACATCCAGAGGTTTCTACACATTAATTTCCTGTGAATTAAAAGTCTTGTAAAGAATGTTGCATAAAAGAAGCTGCTGTGTGCCAGGTTTTCAAGGACTGCTCAGTCTCCACCTCAGATTCTTCTCCAGATAAATGTCTTACCAATCATGGCTCACGCTGGCTGAGGAAATGCAAGCTTTATTTATACCTGCACGCGCTGACATAAAGGCCGCTCTTGTCACAACAGCCAGACAACGCACCTACTGTGAAAAGGCAGATGGGGAGGACAGGGAGCAGGAAAAGGGAGGTTCAGATACAGCGTGTCTGAGATGGAGCTGATGTTTTATGGGCCTAATTTCTCCTGAACTCACTGGAGCACTATGCCAATCTCCCAACGCCGCCTCACACTGCTCTGAAAACAGTCTGTGTCCCTAGATTGATCTTCAGTTTCCATCAATGGGCTTCAGACCAGGACAGAAAGACAGAGACAGGGAGAGACTCTGGGTTGCCATGATCTGTGAAACGTTCCCTCTCTGCTGCCCAGCAGCCCCATCTCTTCATCATTCCCCCACTTGCCTCATTTCCTCTGGCAGACACTAGGGGCATTCTACTGCCCATACTTAATTGCACAGACACACACACACACAGAAAGCAGCTCAGCAAAATTTCCTGTGATGCTGAAGCGGAGAATTAATGCCAAATCTGCCGGGCATTCATTCATCAGAGTAAGAGTGCGTGTGTATGTTATGTTTACATCTGTGTGTACACCAGTGTGTATTTCCGTGACCTTCCAGTCTATTATTATATCCCTTTGGATGCATTAGTAGCCAGGGGGCTGTGTGTGATGAACTGTGAACACCTCTGTGCTCCTGTCATCAAGCCGCGATGGTCACAAACCATGGCCCGTGACCCAGCAGTGACCGCAGTCGGTACAATTAATACATGACTAAAAAAAAAAAAAAAA